CCCACAGAAGTTAATTTGTTCAAACTTTGACCACCTTATTGAAGGAATCAAAATGATATGCTTTCCCAGGTATTAGCAAATGCCATGCACCGGTAGCATTTGTTTTTCTTCTTTGTTCATCTAAAATTAATTTGATTATTGCAATGTTAATCTGAAGTAATTTCAAGGTTTGCATGGAGCGGTCTTCAAAGACATTAAAAAAAAAAAAAATGCAATGGGGTCTTCAAAGACAGTTTACATATTTACCATGCAACTGGACCATGCTTAGACTGGACTGGATTAACCCGATTACAATGTATACGGCCTAATGATGTTCCAGCCCAATCATAGCAACCTTCCTTTAAATTATAAAATGACAAGATAAGAGCTTCAAACTTCATAAAATAAAAAGTTAAATACATACTTTAACCCTTAATTTCTTCACGAGACTTTGAATCTTCAATAAGAATATATCGTAGTACATGGAAAAGAATGATCATCACCACTTTAATGAAGAATTAATCTTTATCCCCATAGAATGACAAAAGTTAATTTGTTAACACTTTGACCACCCTATTGAAGGAATTATCAAAGTGATCTCCTATGTACTAGCAAATTCCATGCACCAGTAACTGTTGCTTTTTTCTTTGTTCCTTTAAAATTAATTTGATTAATCCAACGTTATTATTATCATCTCTTTTTTTTTAATAAATATTATCAATCAATGTTCATTGGTGAGTTTTTATATACTTTAAAATTAATTATTTTTTATAATTTTAAAAATATATATTTTACATTGACCTATGACATTCAAATATATTAATTTTTTTTATATATTTACCTCGAGACGATATCCAACGTTAATTTGAATTAATTTCAAGGTTTGCTTGGAGCTCTTCAAAGACATTTTACACATTTGCCTTCCAATTGGGCCAAGCTTCGGCTGTACTGGATGAGCCCGATTACAATGTATACGGCCTAATGATATTCCAGTCCACTCGTAGGAACCTTACAAATAAATGAATTGAGTTATTAGCGACCGAGCCCAAGTGCAAACACTGCCAAAACTTCAGAATCTTCCCAGTTTTCATCACAGTGCAAACTCACCGTTGTTGGGCCACCCAACTTGGGAGGGGTAGCTCAACAATGGCAAGATGTGATCTAGCTGCGTCCCTGGAGTCCTGTGTATGTGTTGTGATAATCCTCCCTCTAGCATAACTGATATCAAAGTGCAGAGAAGCTTCTGTTGTGCAGTTTTAGCAGTTGTCGCCATCCATCTCTTAATGTGCAAGTTAATTAAGATTCCTGCCTTACCAAGGTGAAATCATTAATCTCCACGTTATCTTGAAACCTGAACATATGAAGTTGTTCTACAAAACATAAACCCAATAACAAGTAAGTAATCTTAATTATCATGATTGTGATTCTTTCTTCGGACATATCATTAGGTGAAATATATACATCACATGGCGATTATTGAAAACAAATGAGAGACCAGACATCGAAAATCAAATTTGTAAATGAAACAGATATAAAACAAAAAAAAAGAAAATGATTATGATAATTGGAGAAGCTTATCTTAACCCATATCAGTTAAGTTCAATGACATATGCCCGTCATATATGGTTTTCCTTAATGCATTGGAGGAACACTATTGAGTATTGAGTGAGCTGTCCCAAGGTTTAATTGGGCCGTTTGTAAGCTAGAAAATGAAAATTTATTTATTTTTTTCATAAAATCAGCAAGATATTGAGAGATTCCTCCCGCGTGAGAGCAGAAATGAACGCCTACAAACAAAAACAACAACTTGTATAATCAAATTTAAGCAGGCAAGAAAGAAACATAAAGGCATATCGCAAGACTAAGCTCTAGCCTTAATGTTTAATTAAGACTCACAAAAGATAAACCAAACATATATGCCAGAATTATCTTTTACCAGATGAAAGCAACTCTCATTTCATCCATTCCCCCTGATATTTTTTGCTTGATGATATGACCTCGTAGCAATCTTAAAAGTCAATGACTAACTCAAAATATCCATTAACAACTCTTTAATAATTTTAATTTCTCACGAAAATATAAACCTCAAACTCAAAGAACATAAACAAATGACATAAATTAAAATATTAAATAATTTAATTTATATAATATTATAAATTATAGTAAAATAAAAAATTTAATTATTACATAATATAAAATTTACCTTTAAATAATAGATTTAATAATATATAATTTTAATGTGACTTAGTTCATATTAGGCAAAACCATAAGGTAAGCCCCTGAATTAACCCCAGAATAGCTATTAAGCTCCTGGATTTTAATTGATGCATATAAGCCCTTGAACTCTAGGATCAAAGCAATTAAGCCCTTCTTCTTACGCCAACTTAACTGCCGTTGACGACACACCCGGCTTGGCTGCTTGGATGGCAAAATATTGCCATGTCATGCTTACATGGCAAGGGATTTAACATTTGACCTGAATTTTTGATTTATTTGATAATTTAATTTTTTTATTTAAATGAAATATAAATAA